GTAATATAGTCATCGTGATTTTAACCTATACTACAGACTACAATAATAATTAAATTCTGATTTCGAGTATTTATTTTTTTAACAATAATCGTAAACATAATTAAAAATATATATTTTCAAATACTTTGATTATTTTTACCATTTAAGAATTGTCCTATAGCAATAAAAAATCTTCTTTTTTTTTAATTAATCACTAATTTTTTGCTAAAAACTGTTAAGTACTTGATTTTTTCAAAATTTAAATGAATAATATCTAAGTTTTTAAGTTTTATATAAATAGAATAATAGTTTGTAATGATAATTATATAAACAATATAAAATTTAGTAAGTAATATTTATTTTGGTACCTTTTTATTATACTCAAAAATGTTTTTGTAGTTGATTAATATTGATGACTTTAATTTCAAACAATTTATCATAGCCCTTATATCGTTAAGCCTATTGTTTTATCTTAAGTTCATGATAAAGTTTAATTACTTAGAAACTATTCATTCAAACTTTGATTAAGATACATCAACGTTTTCAAAAAAAATATTTATTTATTATGTACAAAGTAAAAAGAAGTTTGTATTACCATATGAAACACAAAAATCTAAATATTTTAAAGTTTAGTCTTTAAGTAAGATTAAAAATTTCAAAAATCACAATTTGAATAATACGATATAGTACTATATATTTATTATTAAAGGTTATGAAATATTTGAGCAGGTTAAGTTATTTTGCAGGTTAGAATCATTTTGCTACGTCGTGGTATATACGACTATAAACTTTGTGATATATAGGTCCACTTGTAATTTTAATTTAAAAATATATTATATAGCGTTTTCAAAAATGCTGTGATTTCCAATAGTGCCGTAGAATAGAGTGGACCACGCCCCTTAAGCACATATAGTAAATTTTCATAATCTATATAGATATACTATATACATAGGTATAAGTGTAGTTATTAACCTTACCCTATAAAATTATTTATATAAATCTGAAAAAACGTAAATCATATTGTGTGGCTCTCACGTAAGAAAATGTGGAAATCCATTTCGATAAATATCTTTGATCAGTTTATTACATATAGAAATGCATGTCAAGTATTAATTTATCAAGCCATAATTACTAACATCCCAAATGGTAGTTTCGATAAAGTGTATGAATCAATGTTTTCTACCCAAACAACGTTTATTATTTATAATAATTATTAATATTTTAATGTTCATAATTAAATAGATAAACTCGCCTACAATTATTATCAACTACTATTATACTAGTATGAATTCATAGCAATAAGTACGAATAATAAATTTACGAGTTCAGTTGAGTTTTTTTTTTTTTTTTTGTAATCGTTTGTTTTTAATATAATAATGTCGAGAGAATAAGTAAAAATAAAAATATGAAAACTATGATGTTATATTGTGATAAGAGAGAAAATGGAAAAATACGAGTATGTTGAAACATATGTACTGATTTTTAACAATACATTTTTGATATAAATATTGACAGTAGTAGAAACATCTTCTTTGAAATTTATAATATACAATTGGTATGTTCAAATCGTATTTGCATTAATACAATAATGACAACACGGCGTCCTGATTAGGCAATTTAGCTACACCACGATCGCTGGTCCATCATTCTAGCAAAAGTATTGATAGTTACGATTTGGTATTTTTGAATTTGTAGTTGATAAGTAATTTTAATTTTAATTTTAATTTCTTATGAAAAAACCCCGTTGCTCGTATAACACCCAACTCAGCTTCACTAGTGTACCGTACACTTATAGAGAGGTATACCATAACAAAAGTATATTATAGAGTACACCATAAATCATAATATAATAATAGTAATAACAAACAATATTCTATTCATTATCATAATAGATGTATTGTTGAATTGATCTTACGCAACATCATAATTATTGTACAAGAAAATTACACGTCACCAAAGCTGTTATATATCTATTTATCTATTATAATATTAGAATGGAAATATTATTATAGAAAATTGATTTGTCAAAACATATTGTCAATATAATTTATTATGTAATTCGAATAAGACAGATAGGCTGGATAAAAATAAAGTAGAACAATAACGCTTTATATTGGCGTCGGTGAGTGATAAATGGTAATTTATAAATGGACCTATTATTATTATATTATATTATCTGATTGTTTCGATTATATTATTTTGTCTTTTATCCAGTTACGTCATGAGAAAATTTAGCTAGATCAATCAAAGTATCCGCTGAATTATTTATTGTTTCCACGATTATATTTTTGGGTGAATCGCTAAAATTATAACCTACTTTTTGTACACCTTAAAATATTTAACTATAAACGAGACCCTGAAATTATTAGTAGTTATCTATAAACAAGTCATGAAAGAATATAATCTATACATAAATATACTACAAATGTATCTAAAACAGTATCTAGTCATATGACTAGACTATATCTAGTATTTTGAATAAATGGATTGTCGAGGTTTTTTATTCGTTATAACTTATAACTAATAGCCTTAGGATAGTTCGATAAAAAAAATACACATATTAAAACATAGATATTTAATATGTACTACATAATACTAACTAGTTGAAATAATATAATTTATATATTATTATCTATGTATAGAATTCACAATGATATAAAATGTAGATTAATAGTGGTAAAAAACACACATGTTTTAAATATTTTTATATTACTCGTAATATACACATTATAGCTAATGATATTACTAAATCACGTATTTCGATGATTTCTTTTAAGTACCTAGTATAATTTTTATCAATTTAGTACTTCGATAATTATAATAGGGATTTATAGTTATAATTGATATTATGATAATTATCAATATTAAGAAGAACAAAAATTAATTTACTTGTCAATTATATGTACTTGGGTACTACGCGTATATTGCATGATTTATTCTCAAATAATACTTTAACTTTTTTTTTTTATAATTATAGTTATTTTAATTCATAATGATATGTACTGTTATTTCACTGTTTTAACATGATACAAATACATTGTTGTAATAGACCAATTTTTGAATTGTAAATTATTAAAAGTTTCACTTATTTACAAATTCCTGATTGCATTGTCATTAAATATGTCTTGTTAATGTTTAAATATTTCTATTAACTATGTTAATTGTTAAGTAAAAATTAATTGGTTCGTTTTGAAATTTTCTAACATTTAACTATATTATTCTCAAAATATATTTTACTACAAAATTATTTGAGTGGATAATTTAAAGACTTTTATTAGTAAATTTACTTTAAAATCACATTTTTATACATTTTTTCTCTTATAACGAACTGAAGTGAAAAAAATATAATAACGAGTTTACTTTTCCAATTACAAGTTTCCAGACTGTGTATTTTCGTGCAGATGTATATTCAAAAGACAACAATGTAACAAATTAATAATCAACTTATTAAAAAAGTTTTTAAATAGACATTCGAACAACAGTAAAAAATAAATAAAAAAATAGATTATTTTATAAAGGTACGCTTTATATATTATTCTTAATGCTACTTATTTGTAAGATTAACAATTTTTAAAGTCAAGCAATCAACTTATTTTGTTAAGTTTTATATAAAATAAAATATTAATATATAACAGCTTAAACAATTTTACATTTTAAAGTTATTAAATAAAATTATAATAACTATTAATCATAATATCCGTATTAAAAACAGCTTCATACAATATTATGTATGGCGCTGATAATTAAATATATTCTGGCATTGATTTAATAAATTCAACACAATAATTTTGGTAAGGGATCTCAAAAAATTATTCATACTGTAATATATTATACGTCTAACTAACAAAAAATATTTTGTGTACTTTAAATTTATCTTCAGAAAGTATAAATAAAACAATATGAGAAAAGATAAATGTTACTTGATATTAAAGTATATGGTTTTTAAATGTATATATTTCTTAAAAATGTATATACTTTGTAGATTTATTGTTGGTAATTATAAGACTAAAAGTTTTTCACATTTTTAAAAAAAGGACTTAAATGGTGTCAAATTGCCAAAATTATTGAGATACATTTAAGCAATATTGCCCAAAAACTTGTTAAAACTCATGAATAACGATACAGTTTTATATTTTTAAAAAAAAATTTATTAACACACATTAATCAATAAAGACGCGTCTAATAATGACATTATTTTTTTAATACATATATGTTTATTTTTTTAATTATTATTATTGTAGTAAATGTAATATATCAAAAAAAACCTAGGCTTATATGAATATAAGTAAGTCAAAGTTTCACCAAAAGTTTGTTACAAATTCTTTACGTAAGTTCAATACAAGTAAATAAAATACACTCTCTAAAAACCTTTTAAAATGTGAAACTCTAACTTTGTTAAACTGTCAGCAAGTGATCATTTGAAATTTGTAGTATAAGGTTTTGTGTTGCTAATTATACCTATTGAAAGTATCTGTACTACGCAAGTCAAACAACAAATAGAAGCAATTACCTTAAACTTTAACTAAAGGTAAAACTTGTAGTATAGAAGCTGTTATCGTTATAGAATACTTAATAGATAATCACAAAATGTATGATTTCTCATAAACAATTTATTTTTATTTAGAAGTAAATAATAGTTTATAAATAAAATTAAATTGATTTATATATACATTTTTAATTTTTAACAATAAAAACAAACTATAGATTATTACGGTTTTAATATGAGTTGGGTTATTAAAACCAATTAATTCATTCAATTTATTTCATTTATAAAATGAGCTTTTTTCATGGCATGTATTTTACATAAATATAATCTAATATTGTAAAAAGGTAAAACTTAAAAATAACAGTACATTTTTGTGATACTTACCTATTTTACTGGTGAAACTATAGATTTATACATTAAGTTTAATATTGTATTTATGTTTTTTTTTTTGTATTTGCTTTTAAAGTATCTGAAAGTTATCTTATTATACATTGTCTCAAAAATATCGACAATTTATTTTTTGATTTGTTCACAGAGAAGTTTGGGTGCGGTAGAAGAGCATCAGAGGATGCGCAACTACCTGTTGCGCATTGAAAGAGAAGGAGTCCAAAAGGTTAAAATGTTCGTAGTCATCACTGCGGCGTATGTGATCTTCTGGGGACCACTATTTTTTGTTACGTTGGTACAACATCCACTATCCGGCAATCGTTCCGACTACGAGGTAAACCAATTTAAATATATATTTTTTTTAATATTGTGTCCGTGAATTTTGTGAGAAAGAAAACTAAAATGTAGACATTGAATCTCGTGCCGCAGAAAATGTTATGTATATTATTCTGGCAGAAAAAGATTGCTAATTTTATTTTATATCTCCAGACAATATACTGTATACTTGACATTGTATGAGTACAAGCTCAAATTATGTATAATTTAAATATATTTATTTTAAAACCAGTAATTCTGATAGTTATATAACTTGTATAAGCTATGCTGTACGACAATCAGACATTATATTATATTAAATACTTTATACTAATATGGTACTTTTTGTTAAGTTCGTTAAAAACTAATTTCATTCATCAGTTATTTCAAGTATGTGTACTCATGCTTAAGTAAAATAATGAAATTAGTATACTTGAGTATGTTAAATCAATTACTAATATCGAAATAATAATATAATACTTAGAAATCAAACAGTATTAAACATTTTGAGAATAATTAAAATAATGATTGTTATGCAAATTATATGAACGTTTTTTTAAATCTATAAATTTTTATACTTTAATAAATAATAACAACACATGGATTTGCATATGAAACTGCTGTAACTTAATTAATCACTTTGTATACCAATAATACAATAACTATGATGTAACTGTCTATATCATTTGTTCCAAATATTAATACTTGGAAAGGAACAGGTTACAGTTTACAACAGCTCTACTATGTTTTTATTTAATTAATATTATATTATGACATGCAGCTCAAATAAACCCTTTTTAAATATATAGATTGCGACTCGAATGACCCTTTTTATGGTCAACATACATTTTGGCATTTTTTTTTTCCTTACCCTAAATTTGCTTTATCCTTATTAAACAATAATAAATACGATGTTCCTACTATGTAATATAAAAATTAAAATAAATTGATGATATATTGTTTTACATATAACTATATATTCAATTTTTTTTTTTTTGATGGGCAGCAATTTCCCTCCCGAAAAATCCATCTCCACTACCCCTCTTTAGCAACTAAACAACATCGATGTGAGACTTTCTGCCGTATTATTATTACTATATAATTATCATCATATATATATTTCCCTACTCCTTCGTTTGAGAGATTCGTTTCTAGATGCAAACCGCACGGCACACTCCATAAAACAATATTAGATATTTACATACAATTTTAATATATATATATATATATATATATATTCGTAATATAATATATGGTACACAGTACTCATACATTGGTAGTTTTATATATTAGATGATATGTGAAATTTGATGAAATGGTATTAACACTAAAACTGTACCTGAAAACTGGAAATACTTAAAATTTGTTCTAAAACTATAAATTTGTATACAATTATAATACCATATCATAGATTTATAATCTAAAAACATTTTTGACAAAGGTAAATGATAATCTAAAATTTCCAAATAACAATTAATTAAAAATAAAATAGTGCTTTATTAAAATAAATGAATTCATATAATCTCCATAGATAATATTTTAGTTTTAATAATAGTACTATCTAATATTTTAGTTTTAAATACTGTAAGATATTCTATATACTGTCACGCTACGCATACAGTTGTATGTCATGAAAAATAATTCATTATTTCCGAAATGAAACGTTTGAGTTTATTGGAATTTATTTCATAATTAACCATGAACAAAATTCAGCTTCGGTGTCTGAAGCATTATTACTATATAATTTATTAGATTATGATTTTCCAGTAATATGAAAATTAATATACCTACTAGTATACACATTTCTTTTTAAACACAATACACGTATAAAATCAAACTTTTTCTAAGACAACTTGTAAAGTGTAATGCACGATATATTGATATACCATCATAAACGTTCAATTTATTATTATTATAACGTATAGAGCCGTGTTATAAATTCGCAATGCGGTATTGATGTACTGAAACTAAACTAAATTTCCCTCAAGAATATCAGAGGTTGTGAAATCTCAAGAGAGTGATTCACATCCAGTATATTTATATGTTTATAAATCAATATAGGTATAACTCATTGTTTCTAAAAATAGGAAAATAAATCATTTTGAATTGACTTTAATAAATATTATTACGCATATCATATGGTTTAATACATAAATATTTAATGATAATAGATAATAATAATTCTGTGGGTGTACAGCATATTATTATGAACATTGGAATATTGCTAAAATATTTGTTTCACCGGCCATTTTGAATTTTATATTTTTATTAACATATAATATTAAACTTGTCCTAAGATATCGTATTCTCGTAATAATAGTGTGTTCATTTGCTTAAAAAAAATTATAATTTATCCATTCGGGGCTCTCTGTTACTCAAATTTCCTTGATAACTCTAAATTTTCGATGTCTATTTCAAAGTAAATAAAATCAACTACTTATATTCAATCCATGAAAAGTCTATAGAAGGCTATGAAATTTAAAACATTAATATTTTCTCACGTATATAATAATTACAACATCAATAATAAATAATAGGATAAAAATAGGTATATTCAAAGCTATACATTTAATGCAATAAAAATTTTTGAATATTATTAATATTATTAATTGAATAAATTATTATTTTTTTAGCAAAACTATAAAATATAAAAATAAAATTGTTTAACTAAAACTATCATTTTTTATGATAAAAAGACAAATAAGTTTGCATTAATGCTATTTAAAACTCATCTAATTAATATTGATTTAATCATAAGCAAACAAAATCTATGATATGTAATTTTTTCTATTGCAATTCATTTTTATTCATCGAAAATTTCACATAAATTGATTAATGATAACAACAACAAACTCAAAAAATGTTTATCAACAAATAATAATAAATATAATTAATAACTATTGAAGCCAAAAAAAAAAAAAAATTCTCGATGACTGCTGGTCAATAATATAAATACAGTCGTATCTGTAGATTGTCCAATTATATAATATTTTTAAGATAACATAATGAGAAATCCTTGAGAATAATAATAATATGCAAAATATAATAGATCGCAAAAATAATATTTGTATCATTTTATCACAGATTAAATTATTTTAATATTATTGGTTTTATTTAATCTGCGGTATACCAGTGAATGTTAATATGAAAAACAATATTATCGATGAAATAACAAAGAAAAACAAACTCGTAAAAATAATAATTGTATACGAATAATAATAATAATAAACGAATTACAACTAACCAATCCTATACAGTGTTGCCCGTGACAAATTAAAAATACCACTGGGCTCGCTCTGTCTTGAATTCAATTCAAAATAAAATACACACATTCCGAACACATAGTAATCTGGTTTTTTACCAATTATAAAATAAGTCAAAAATAACATACGATATCAGTAGCTAATTTCTTTTGAGTTATCAACAGCCACCTTATACGATACTAAAATATTCGTTTTTCGTTGACCAACCGATCCCTGTACGAGCTCCTGTTTAAAACGCAAAACTACACGCTCGCACACATTACATTTTATTAGTTTAGATAACGGTATAGAAACCATAACCATGTTTATAAGTATCGTCAACAATAGTTAATACGATACCGTCGCCGTGCTGATGTTGCTGCAGGTGACATTGCACGTGGCCAATGGCCATTCGTTCGTCAACGCCATGCTGTTCCTGGTGCTTCACCGAGGACTCCGGCAAGCGGCCGCCGACGCTTGCTGCACCAGCATGTCCATGGTGGCCAGGTGGCTGACGGCCGGGTGGTCGCCGGAACCGTACACGCTGGACGCATCGTTGCCGGGCATGTCACCTGAGCCCGTGTTGGCTGCTCCACCGCCACCGCCGCCCTCCAGTCTACCGGCGTACACTATTCGGCACACTTCGATGAGAGTGAGTCATATATTATGCGACGTTCAGCACAATATTAAAACGATATGTAGATAAATTAACGTGTGAGCTCGGCCTGAAAATATAGCAGGAAATAAAAAAAAACAAAAAGATCGATTGAAAACTCGGTTCGATAAAACATAATAATACCAACAGTATTAGTATTATTTAAAATAATAAATAATGTGAATAATATTACATGTTGTCGTAGACAAGCGATCTGTTGTTAATATTTAATTTAACGTTTAGAATTTTTTTTCATCAAAATTTCAAAACTATATCATGAATAATTAACTTTTGGAGTATAATATGAGAATGCTCTCCTCGTTGTGGCCTTTGTTTTCTGAGTTACACTAAATCACTAAATAGCTCTTAAAAATATTATAACTAGGTCCTAACAGACAAGCCCTTCTTTTTTTTCGATCAGAGTTTATACATCAATAGTTTTCACTTTAAAAATATCGGTGCCGATTTTACAATTCCCTAAATTATTGAAATTATTACCACTATCGTAAGGATTTGACATAGTGTGGTCTTGAAGATGAGGAAAATTTTAGGAATAGAAAACAGAATTAAAATTTTTGAAGAGATTGATGAAAAATGTTAAGACGTTTTTTTCAATTTGTACTTGTTACATTTTGGCACATTGGCTGGTGTGTAATCGATTTTTTCAGGGGTGACTAAGTAGTTGGGAAATGAGATCCAAGAAGAAAAAATTTAAATATTTTTATTTTATTTTATACACCCCACCAATGTAAGAAACATACCAAGGTATACCTAGTATATAATACTATCATGCATTATTCTATATTTTTGTAATTAATTTATCATTTTATATTATTATAGGGAAACATTCCTATTAATATTATATTGGTATATTTTATAAGAATCTATATGCAAAACTCTATTATAGCTTAATTGTAATTAGAAATGTAGTACAAAAAAATCAATTATTAATGTATATCTTTTTAATAAAAGATATTAAAAAACAAAATACCTACACTAAGCCGTAGGCCTAACTTCATGCATATTTATACATCTTTGTTAATTTTTTTTTACAGTTGATATTTTTTCATAAATGATTATGACTCACATTTTTTTACATTTTAATCGCTTTATCATGGCAAACCACGGAGCTTAGAACATATGTTTTTGATAGTTGACTTATACCCTAAAACTTCTGAATTTTATTATTTATAATATATTGTAAGACCGTGAAAAGAGTTTCAATCGCTCAACGTCTGCTGCAGTGACGATCCCTCAAAATGTGTATATTTTTAATATTATCAATCATAGTATAATAAATTAGCATAATTTCAAATAACCGATGAAAGCATTTTGCTAAACAGCGATTTCTGCTGTAGATATTTTATACTTTGCGTATTACTATTTCAGTTGTTTCGATTTTTATAGTAATATATGGTATTATGTATTTATCGGCGATGAGTGATTGCACCAACAGATAATTAACTGTGAACAAATGGTCTACAACATGCGCTTTCATATAATATATTAGTTTAATATCATAATAAAAACGCACTGCGGTCGAACGCTGAAACGATCGAAATGGCGTTCGTCCGTTTTTAAAGACGTTCGATGCTCAGTTTTGTCATTGCTCACATTTCTCGGCAGACCAGTCATTCGCCCTCCTGATAAACTTATATATACATACTACATTACTTATATTAAATATCGCATACCTTGTGCAAATATAATAATAACATAAAAAACATAGCTTAGCAACGGCGTATGCCGTGTACGATCACAATGAGGTGTATATACTCGGAAGTGGAGCCAGTGACGCGCGGCGAGAGATCCGGCCGTCACGTTTATTATGTACTTACGTGTCTATATGTTATAATAATACCATATTATTATCTTCCACAGAATTTTCACTTTGTCATTTTGACCACTTCTTCAGTTTCTTCACCTCTTCCTACTCTTCATACGTATACAACATATACCGTCGTATTCGTATATGGTATACCACAAGCTTATAACTTATATAGTATAACTACCAAAAATTCCATAGCAAAAACTCTTATATATTTATCAGTTACCACTATATAATTATAGTATACTTTTTGTACGCTACACCATATAATAATATAATATAATGTTAACACATTTCCAGAGTCAGACTTAGGCAAATTGCGATTTCACTTGGCTATATTATATAATAATAGTAGAGTATTCTCACATTATTTGTCTAAATATTGTTTATTTGATCTTTGTTTAAATATATGTTTGATGTATGTATATATCATAAATAGTTTACTCAAATAACATCTCTGCGTGTATCAGACGCATGACTATTGAAGTTGTGTGAAATAATGATATTACTCAATATTAATATTGTTATGTAGTTGTTATTTTGCTATAGAGTTCTTAAAGCTGACTATAGGGACTGCACTAAAACTTTGATGAACAACATCGCATTTAAGATTTAAGAAAGTCATCCTTCTATCATAAAAATCATTTATTAAAACAAAATATTAAATTTTCTATATTTATCTCTAGTCAAAAAGTATCAGTTTTATGTGAAATTTATGATATCTAAATTTGTTAACATTATAATACGCATATTTTCAAATATTTCAAACAAATCTGATCACTGAATTTAAAACATCTTTCGCATAAGCTAAATGTTAAGTAAGTACGCATACATATTCTCGAGGGAAACATTTTCTCGAGAGAATAAAAATTAAATTTTTGATTATCCATATTACATAATAATAATAATAATTAACTTACAAAAATAAAATATTTTTTTAAATTGATTTACCTATAACCGTATAAAATATAATAAAGTATCTTCTTTAAGGCAAAATTATCGATAAGCTGTTCTTTTTATTCTTTTTTATGACAAAATGAGATAACACAGTTTTAGATACAGATTGAATATGATAATTTTATCTCATTATGTACAAAATTAACTATGAACCAACTTTATCATCAGATATTTTAATTGTCAGTTATTCAATTGTATTAAAACTATAATATCCCACTTATCACAAATTTAATAAATGTTTTAATAATATTAATCAAATAAAATACTGTATTATACTATGTCGTTTTAAGAAATTAATATTTTCTAAAGTTAAAGAAAGGAGGGGGTATCAAAAATTATCCATATCGCTCACCATAAATGCGCCCAAACATGTACATCTATGTGTATTATAGGATAATACACGTATTACCTACCATATGAATAGATGTGATAATGGATATATGTATATCACCAATTCTTGTGTAATTTGTCCGGTGTTGTCGTCGTCTTCACATTTTGGTGACAAATAAATTCCTGGAATTTTAATTCCATTAAACACAGTATACCTAAATATACCACCTACATTAATTAACAAATGACAATAATCAAACGTTCGTCGACCATAATGTTTATAAAATTTGTGATATTTTTTATGCACAAATGCTTATATTTCAAAAAAGAAAACAAAAATCTATTTTTTTAATTAACCAGCACTGATCGGCTGATCCACCCACGTATGACCTAATTTTGTTATGTACGTGGGTTTTCATAAATTAGCATTTACATTTTGTATAAAAGTAATATCCTACCTTTCAATTTATTATATAAAAGATAATTTTCACCAAAACCATAATATTTTTGTTATTTAAAAAAGTAGTATCATAAACAAACTTGTGTAAAATTACTGTGTACAAATTTGATCATAATCAAATAAAACAGGTGTTGAAAAGACTATTATTATATTATAATGTGATAATCCAAGACAAAACAAATTTATAGTTAAACAATTTTTGATGAAAGTAAATATTTTATTTCATTAAAATTGTTCACGCTCGTGAAAATATACTATATAGCAATTTATATAAAATAAATATATATAATCGTGTATTATTATTTTTTTTTTTTTATATATTACACACTGAATTTTATTAATATATACTAGATGCTTGTGATTTTTTTCTTTTTATAAAAAAACGTAAAATATATTTTTGTTTAAGTTTCTTCTTTTAAATTTGTATTGGATTTTTAACATTCTAACCTTATCATAATTGCTAAATCAATCATATAATATTGTTTGTAATGACACAACATCTTGAAATTTTTAATAAAAAAATGCGAAGTGTATTTTAGTTTACTTAACACAGGAACGGGTTTGAACATTTTTATGTCAAGAATGATAATTTCTCGACACTTACAATGTGACATCTATATTATACTACTAAAAGTACTATTATTTTATTTTATAAAAAAAATAAAAGTAACCACAATAATAACTAAAATATAAGCACTTATCGTACAGACAAAGATTGAATAGGAGTTTTAGGTGTTCTGGTGAGGTTTCGAAAATTCGACTCCATGATTTTTCTATCTTTTTTTTGCGCAATGTCTCATTATACTTTTATGATATTTTAATTTGCAAACAATTAATAAGTAGATATATAAAGTATTGGTATTTAAAAATACTTATAAACCTGTTAAAGTTTGTTAAAACGTAGCTCAATAATAATTTACTCTACTAAATTAATCTCTCGATTTATCAATATTAAAGCTATCCACACAAAATTGAAACTGCTCAACGTACATGTTACTATATTGTTATATACTTATATAATATGTTATGCGTTAGTAGACTGAGATAACACGTGCAGATAGTCCAGTTAATATTTAGACAATATTATTATAATGATAATGTAACAGGACCATTTGTTTAAATAATTATTTGTTTATTTTTATTTATTTTTTTGTCTGAATGTGTTTCACAGACTCGGTCGATGAACCGTTTCCCGGCGGTCCACCACCGGAACCCGCACTACGACTACCATTCATCGCATCCTAACCTGCACGACATGTCGGGCATCAATATGGGCCGGTTGTATAACAGTCACGAGTATCTACCGAACGATTACCGCCGATACAACCACTACTATCATCACCGGGAAACGCCACCGTGCTCGTCGCCCGAGTGATTTTATTTTGCGTCGTCATCATCGTCATCGTCGTCGTTGTCTTTCCCGCGTGTTCGTCGTTCCTGTTTCGCGGCTGTCAAGCCGTCGTTACCCGAATAAATCGTAAAAATAAAATCCACAAAAAAAAAAAATCTTCCGAAATCATTCTTCCACGCGTGAGCGTCTAGGACTTAGGAGGCAGCTGTGGTGGCAGTGGCGGTGGAAGTTTCGGCGTGGGTGGGCATGTGGGTCAGTCATATAGTGGGCCTGAATACAAGGGGATTTCGCTCGTCCTTGTATCCGACCGCCCACGGCTCGGTGGCGAATATCGAACAAATGTCCGACCGACTGATGGCGAACCGAAAATCCGCTCACAGAACGAGCACACACTATTGTAATATTTATTGTACCGTCTTTACGTTGTATTATTTCCGCATATTTAAAATACCGACGATGACCAATTTACAAGTATCTTAGTACTTATATATAGAAATATCAATTTCCGTGTTTCGTTCCGTGCGTTGGTTTTTCGAATTGATCTCACACGCCACACCGTCACCCCGAACCTCTCATCACACCACTACACCTAGCGTATCACTCTCAACCACTTTGGCCTACTTTTCGACAACCGTCGCCGTCGTCCCCGAAAATACCGCTCACCGGGCGTTCAGCCCATTTTCGAATATATACGTTTTTGTGCTAGCACGTTCTCATCATTATTTTTTACTATATTATATAAAAAATACCATTACCATTATTATTATTGTATGTCTATATTGTATCCATGATTTACGTTTTGTGAAACATCAAAGTAAACATCTATATCTATTTACACTTGAATCTAATTTATACACTTATTTGTTTTTGATTTTCGACAAAGATCGATATTTTAGTGTAAGTACCTATCTATGTAAGTATTTCCTATACCTATGAAGGTTGCTGACCGTCAAGACCCGCCACGCAAACATTCACCAGTGTCATTTATACTGTATACACATACATCAGTCCCGACATCGGTCGAAAGTTTACCGGAGCTTTTCTGAAGCTTTTTACACAGCCGATGTTGTAAAAAAAAGATATTATGTAAATATAACTAGAGACCTATTTGTAAAATGCCATATTACTTATATTTACAGGTAGGTTGACAAAATACGATTAACCCTTATACAAGACACTGAGTAGTTATTTATGCCTATATAAAAATACATTTTGTAATATTCAAGAACGTAAGTCATGATTTTATATCGTTTATTTTATCTGATCATTCCAGATTTAGAATATTATTTTCCTACGATTATGTATTGAAATGTTTAAACGTTAACTATCGTATATTTTATACAGTAACAGAGAAGCAGCCCCATTGTTTTCTTTGATAATGAATTTATTCAAATTATGTTTTTTGAAATTTTTAAATATATTTGAAAATTAAATTTTAAAATTTTTGAATTTATATTTACTACATTAAGAGTATTCTATGATGATACAGACTTCTTTTTTTTTCAAATTAAAACCACCTTGCTTTACTTTAATTTGTTTTGTGGATAATTATTATGAACATTACGTTTTAAGTAATTAATGTTTATATTATAATTTTTATTATATAAATAATAGTTCTAAAAATTAAAAATATATGTAATAATAGATCTTGTATTTATTATATTTGGGCCATTTTTAAGATAGTTTATGTTGATAAATTAATCACTATATTTTTAACCTAACCTAACCTATATCTTCCAAACACATTAGTAGGGACATGTGAAAATAGTTAAATAACTGAGATACTAATAGTTAGAATTTTAAAAAGGTACTTATATTGAAAATTAAAAATAAATTAATAATAATCCAATATATAGGGGAAAAAGAAAGATCTCAAAAAAAAAAAAAAAAAAAAAAACAGAAATATATATCATTGCAAGACACTTCTTAGTAGTATAAAAAATTTCAAGAATTTTGAAATATAATTTTTGAGTTTATTTATCAATTTCAAAAATCAGAATTTAAATATATAAAGGACAAAATAGGAATGAGATTGCTTTTTGTAAATTACCCTATATAACATGGCATTATACCTAGAATGTAGTTTTCAGCTACATTTTGAAAAGTTCTGCGCTCGAAACTTTTCGATAAACAACTAGGAAAAGTATAAGAGTTTTGCTTGTATCTACGCATTTTATTATAATAGGATGTAGTACGACATGCGTACATGATTTAAGCGGTTATGCGGACTCGGTGATAGAGAAAAAAACCCGTCGCGACTCTCCGCGTGACAATCGATTTGCGTAACGAAGGTAATGAACGTATAGGTTTATAATATAATATTATGTTGGTGTATACAAAACGTTTGCGGAAATTGCAATCAACGCCTCGCGAGAAACTAAACGATTTACCGCTGTTGCTGCTTCTGCTCGATCATTATGGGTAGGTGTGTTCATAAGAATTAATCAAAATATTACCTACCTATGTTGTTCATGCCAAATCTATTTAATTACGCAACGCGTCGATCGGAAAAATGCTATTCGTTTTTTTTTCAGGCTAGTCGAACATTTGTATCATTTCCTCAGTTTACGTCATTACAATATTATGCGATTGTGTGTAAGGTAGGTACGTATTTCCCTGTTTGTATTGCTTACATGCATTGCTGGACGAATAAAAGCATCTCTGATTAATGCTTATAAATAGACCCAGATATTAATTCGTAATAATATACGAAATTGAATAATAATACAAAACAAATTTTATCAATACAAATAAAACTAAACAAAATTAACCGTAAATTATGATTGTAATTTTAATTATGGAGTATAGTTATTATTATAATTAATTTCACAAACTTTTTTTTTTCGTTACCACAATTTCCTCCTAAACATTTAATAACAGCATATATAATGTATATTAATTGCAATTCACCAAGTTTTTAATCCATGTTAGACATTAACTTTATTATATAACCATAGGTTAATCAAAAAGTTTTTATATCATATAAATTTAATTTATAATTTAGATAAAACAAAACCTTGTATTTAAAAAAAATACATTTTATGCTCTCAAAACTGATTAAAAATTATCATGATTCTAATAAAATCAATCTCATGATTGAATCTCAATGGCCATTTCAATTTTAACGAATAATTTGATTGTGATTTTTATAAAATAAATTTTGTTTCATTACACTATTGCATAATAAATTATTTACATTCGATTCGTACACCTTTATAACTCTAAACATCACACAAACATAGTATTTACAAATAGTATTGAGTTCAAATAATATTCTATTTATTAAAACAGAAAAGTACCTAATCAAATACTTTGAAACAAATGTTGTATACAGACTTGACTTAGTAGTTCTAACTTTTTATGACAGAACATAAAACATTATTATTTTTATATTATTTCCTCTTTCAAAGTAACAAATTCTTAACATTTTAATCATAAAATTACTTTTTTATTTTTCTTCCATACAAACAATATAAAAATATCAAATATTCTAGTCATAAATTGTAATACATTTGATATTTAAAGTCTTGGTAATCTGACATGAGTATAAATGGGTCGAAGTATAGTCGGATTACTTTAATTTATAAGCAACGATAAAAAGCATGCATAATATTGTTGTGTAACATAATATTACTATAAAATATACATACTTAATAATTAGTTCTTAATATATATTTATATATATATATATATATATATATATTATTATATCATATAAAAAAAATATCCGTATTAAATCAAATTTTTGGTTTTAAATTTTAAATTTAAATTATTACACACTTTTTATCTTAAAACCTTCTAAAGGTCATCTTATACCTCATTTGTAAATCATACCCCTATAATTAGAAAACCGATTCAATCATACATCCTAAAAAAATTGAGATACATAAGTACACACCAACTCATTACATTATTATTGTTATTAAGTATTACCATAAATTATACATTTTATCATACGTATATCAAATAGATTGTATTTTTAAACAATGTTTATAACAAATATTGTTTTGGTAAAAGTACCAAACAATTTTCGTAAGTATTAAAATATAGAAAATATACAATCATTTAGTGTCAAAAGAAACATGACGTATCGTTTATAATATACTGATAAAATATTGAAGGTAAACACAATTTGTGTTTATTTTCCAGTCTTTCAAAGTATCAGAGCATACACACATCTGAAAGGCATTTGATAGGTTTTTCAAAAAGCTACAAATTTCACGCACTCCCATAATCGAATAAATAATAATAATAATAATAATAATAATAATAATACAGTCGTTATCTCACAGCTTGCGTTTGATTGATTTTGATTTAACATCTTTAACCGGCGTTGTTATTATTATATTATTATAAATAACGGAAGGTTTGTGTAAATCGATTGTCACCACTGCAGGTCTACTGCAGGAGGCCACATCAATTGTATATATTATATTCTAAGTTTTTTGTACACGAGTTTTGAGAGAAAATATTATTAATAATAATAAAAATGTTCACATAAAAAAGAAAAGAAAAGTGTAGTAGACGGTCGGAAAAAAACGCTGGCGACAGATAGACCAGGTTTTGATAAATGGAAGAAGAAGCACGGAAACGCTTTAAGGGTCCACCGCCGTTTGCAGTCACCTACAGCATCACCATCTCTTGTTAGGGCCTTAGAGATGTTTATGTTCAAACTATGATATCTGTCCACAGGGATTGAGGATGATGAGATGAGTGAGCGGAAATTGTGAAGAATAGAAGTATATATATATATATATTACGTCTTTTTTATAGGTATACAAGTTGATCCATTTAACATGAAACACTCATTATTTCCGAAAACATTAAAGATTTTTAAAAATATTTTTCTTACTTAATCTCAAGTCGTTTAAAAAAAAAACATTTTTGGAAAAAATTATACGTTTTATTATTTTCTATTGCCATCAATTTTTTAAGTATTTAACTTTTTTGTATAACTATATAATACATTAGTTTTAATTATCAATTCCCGATAAAAAATTTATTTTGAGTATTACAATAAATAAAAATCAAATTTCGAGTAAGCAGTTAATTAGTTACAACTTTATAATTAATTAAAGTTTTAATGAGCGTAGTAGTGGATTAAGGTTGTGCGGTGTACCTCTATACTATTCCTCACTACTCTTTTCATCTAAACTTAAAATATCATAACTTACGAACTAATTATCTAAAATTCGTTTTTTATTTATCAAAATACAAAAAAAGATATTCTGTTGTGGAATAAAGAATTTAAAATACACATTGTCGTTAAACTTTTTTTTTTTTTAATTTTTGTTATTATTTATTTATTGTTACTTATAACTTGGTATTAGGTAGGGAATTTCGAAAATACCATTAATTTCAGGATTAAAAATGTATAATACATCATTAAATGTTGAAAAATGAAATTTTGACTTCAATCAGATAATAAATTATTTTATCCTGGTAAAAACTCAATAGGTACAAAGTTTAAAAGAGAAAACAATTATTGCTCTGACATTAAGCAGTGTTTTTCAAACAGTGTGCCAAATAAGTTATCTTTTATCGATATATAAGTATTATTATCTTTTATAATTTTTCTTTTTCTTTTTTTTTTATTTTGCATTACCAATTAAAGTAAACATTAAATATAACCTATTATTCTTAATTTTTTTCATTATGTGTCACAAATCATAAAATATTTTTAAAGTGTGTCAT